TCTAAGTTTGTCTGCCTTGGGAAAGCTAGTGTGTCTCCTACATAGTGATAACACTCGTTGCCTTCTCTAGTGCAGCTCAACCAGATCTTGTCCCATTCGTCGATATTTGTGATATTACAAATCCCGGAAAATATGTGTTGTAGTCCAAACGAGTCGTTCGTTGTAGTTTTTGAAAAGTGATCTGTTAAATAAAATATCTCCTTTTGAAGTGGACTTTGAGCTTTGTAACTTTGCAGATCTTTTTTATGCTCAAACAGCAACATTACAGACTAACTAAAGTTGAAAAAGTGAAAAAGCATAATAGGACCCCTTTAAGTTTAAATAAAGTTAACATAATAACCAGAAATATTTATTTTTTTATTTATTTTATTTACAGAAAAACCATCAAAACACAAGAATAGCCTTTGTGCATTCTTCAAAAAGACATGGCATGCTGTGAAAAGCACCAACCAGTGTCGACGTCAGGGCAGCAAAGTGGCCCTTCATCAGCCTGTGTCCGACACAGATTCAGCTGATCCTCAGTGTGGTCCATACGGCCTCGAACCAGCGGCACATTGGCATCTAGCTGATCTACAGCCAGGCCCGTCCGGCCTTGAGCCAACAACCCTACAGGATCAAACTGATCCTCCGCCGCGTCCGTCCAGTGTCACACCGATGAACTGTGATGAAAAACCAGCTGATCCTGAGCCAGCTGAAGGTGGGTCTACTGTCATTTTAATTCTGTCCTGTTTTTCACACTTGTGTCTAGTGACCGTCTTAAGTATGTTTATTTAACTATTATTTGCAGTAAGTTGGAAAGTTTATTCTTTGTGTCTAGCCTCAAAATGTGACTTCTAATATCTGTTGGTAATTTTTAACTCTTCCATTTCTGTTTTTTTTTTTTTTAGAAAATCAAACAAACACGAAGAAGAAACACATCTGTGCATTCTTCAAAAGAACATGGCGGGCTGTAAAACGTGCAGCAACACAACGGAAAAAGCACAACAAAGTGGCTCCACTTTGTCCACAGCCCGACACAGATTCAGCTGATCATCAGCCGGATCCAAACGTCTTTGAGCTGATGGCTCTACAGGATCTCACTGATCATCAGCCGGATCCAACCGTCTTTGAGCTGATGGCTCTACAGGATCTCACTGATCATCAGCCGTATCCAAACGTCCTTGAGCTGACGGCTCTGCAGGATCCAGCTGATCCTCCAGAAGATCCTCAGTCTGGTTCATCTGACCCTGATCGAGATCCAGATGCTTCAAAGATGACACCTGTCGTAGGACCATCTGGCCTTGTGCCAGCGGGTCTGCAGGATCCAGCTGATCCTCTTCCAGGCCCGTCTGCTCTTGATCCAGTAGCCCCAAAATTTCCAGGTGCTTCCAAGCATAGACAAATCGCAGATCAAACCCGTTTCAGAGCAGCCTGTTTCACTGATTCAACTCCTGGTGAGTCTATGTCCACTTGTTAACCTTTTCTTGTTCCTCCACTGATTGTTTCACATCTGTGTCTAGTTAATCCAGTCTGTGTTTATACATACATGTCTAATTCCTCATACGGTATTCCAAACGTAAAGGATAAATCTAGTTGACCAAGTAGTATTATTTTCCTGATTGCCTAAAAGGAATTGAAAGAATCCTGCTGTTACACGTTGACTTACGGTGCATCCGAAATCTCATACTGTCTGAGTGGGTACTAGATTTGAATTTGAACTTACTTTGTATTCAATTTCGGATGCAGTGTTAGTCTCAAACATTGACCATATTTAGTGTGCATGTATCTGATGTGAACTGGATGTGTGTATTTATTCAAGCACTGATATTGGACTTCATGTAAAACTGTGAATCTAATATATTAACAACATGCTTTCTTTGTACATTTTTGCAGCTCCATTTGATGAGATTTATGAAGTGGGAGAAGAGATTGGAGAAGGAGGCTTCGGCACTGTGTATGAGGGGATTTCAAAATTTCTACGCGAGCAGGTAGAATTACCACTTTATTTACCAAATGTATATAGACCATATAGATCAGTGCTTGGACCAAAACATATTTAAAATCAATTTAAATTGAAATATTTGTGATAATGACAATATGTGACTCTGGACCACAAAATCATAAGTCGTATGGGTATATTTGTAGCAATAGCCAACCCAATTTTGACCCAAAATGATCAATTATCAAAATTATCAATTTTTTTTATGCCAAAAATCATTAGGATATTAAGAAAAGGTCATGTTCTATGAAGATATTTTGTAAATTTCTCAGCATAAATATATCAAAACTTAATTGTTGATTAGTAATATGCATTGCTAAGAACTTAATTTGGACAACTTTAAAGGTGGTTTTCTCAATATTTTTGATTTTTTTGCACCCTCAGATTCCAGATTTTCAAATAGTTGTATCTCGGCCAAATATTGTCCTAACAAACCATACATCAACAGGAAGCTTATTTCTTTCAGATGGTGTATAGATGATGTATAAATCTCAATTTTAAAAAACAATTGACTCTTATGACTGGTTTTGTGGTCCAGGGTCACATATATATAATTCACGAGTTCACACTTACATATAATTAGCTGAAGTGTAGTAATGCGTATTCGGCGTGCTGTCCGGGGAAGGACTCCGAGCTCGGGAATGGCCCGAACCCAGAGTACTCCCCCCGTATAAGTGTAGTAAGAACTCGAAGTGAGGAGATGGGGCGGTGGAGGGATGCTGATAAACCGTCGATGGATAGAGGTAAGTCTGCTGTATTTATACCTCTTGGTGTTGATTAACTTGAGTGCGCTCCTCTTGTGTTAATTAGGCTAGGTATCTGACGTGCTCCTCCCGGACTTTATTAATAAAACATAATTTAATGTTAATTTGCAGATTCAATATGATCAGTTTACCCATCTGTAACATCTAGTGCACTTATAAATGTATTAATTGTTTTTATTCATTTATTTATTTAATATATTTATTTTTGCAGGTCGCCATCAAATTCATCCCCAAGTGTGAAACAGACCTGTATATTGAAATAGTAAGTTGGCATAACTTAATGTATACATTTAAATACAAACTACATACAAATTATAATTTAATACAAATTATATTGCAGATACAAGTGAAATGTGATATTAAACTCTTAATTACTGAACTCTCTTTTCTGTAGCCTGGCTGTTCAGAGCCGCTGTTTGCAGAAGTGGCTCTAAACCTGCTGCTGAAACGACCTCCATTAAGCCCCTACATTGTGCACATGCTGGAATGGTTTGAAGAGGAGGATCGGTTCATCCTGATCCTGGAGTATCCACAACCCTGCAAGGACTTGCTCAAATTCATGGTTAACAATATGCAGCGACTGGATGAATCACAGACACGTAGGCTGATGCACCAAGCGGTGCTCGGGGCCAAGCACTGTCTTGACCGAGGCGTCTTCCACCGGGACATTAAGTTGAATAACTTTCTGATCAACACAAAGACTAACCAAGTCAAACTGATAGACTTTGGCTGCAGTGACCTCGTCAAAAGTTCAGGCTACTTGGGTGATTTTACAGGTGAGTTTGACGTTTTGTGTTACTGTTGCAGTAAGGCCTAATGAGAAGTCAAACTTCTGTGTAGTGATTTAATAATAACAAGGAACAGATGTGTGAAAATGGACATTTGGTCGAGTTGATGATGACTTTTGTAGGCAAAATGTTTGCTTAACCTGAATATCTCTTGCTTTCATGAACAGGAGGAGTCTGCCCACCTGAATACTACAAGGATTTAAAATACGAGGCAGGGCCAACAACCGTCTGGTCTCTGGGCGTAATGATGTACTCAGTGGTGTGCAGATGTCAGCCCTTTAACAGTCTAGAAGACATGAAGCATGGCAGTCTGAGTTTTAATGTCAGAGTATCCACAGGTCTGAGAGAACAATTAACTACCAATAACACAGTGACAGTAACATTGTTAAACCCACAAAGCATAATACATGCTACATATTTCAGAAGCTATTTTCATACTTGACAACATTAGCATGTAACATGGACATAAAAGAACATACATGGCTAACCATGAAAAACTTGTACAGAATTGCAGGATTTGATAAGCCGCTGCCTGGCTTATCACCCAACCGAGAGAGCAACTGTAGAGGAGATCCTACAGCATGAATGGTTTCAGCAGGGACAAATGTCAGGAGGAGCTCAGGATCAGGTAGTAACAGGTAGGATCAGATAAGTTAGGAGGGAAGGCAGATGATGACAGAAATCTCTCTTCTGAAAATCCAAGAAGTGCTGTCACAAGCTTCAACTTTACATTTATTCATCTTTACATTTATTCATTCAGCAGATGCCCCAAATTGGCCCCGGTGAGGAAAAGCTGCACAAACCATTCAGCAGAGTCTTCAGAGCAGCAAGCTTAGTTAAAAAAAAAAAGCAGCAAACTTGGTGGGCAAAATTAGAAACAAATTACTAAGAGCAAAAGTAGTGCAAAACCAAATACAGAAAACTAGTGCACAGAAAGGAGGAGCAAATTTAGTTGAAAAAAATGTAATATAAAAAAATGAGGAGCAAATTTAGTGCACAAAACAGAGGAGAAAACATAAGGAGCAAATATAACGTATAAAAAGGTGGAGAATATTTAGTAAATTTAGTGCACAAAACAGGAAAACTAAAGTAAACTTATGCTGCTAGATCACAAAGACAGTTCCCGTCAGCTCCTCAAACTGATCCTTATTAATTTATTCAAGTTATTAGGTGGGTGGAGGGAAATTTTATTTAATAAAAAAATACATTTTTATTTTGTGTAACTTGTCTGTTACTTACTGACACACACACACAAACACACACTTTCTGAATGGGACATTGCATAGACTTTCTATTGTTTTATAAAGTGCTGGTTATAGATACTACAACCTAAATTATAAATAAATAAATGTATTTACTTTTTTAAATACCGTTTTACAAAAGAGGATGTCCCCAAAAAGGAGGGTTTGTCAGATTTAGCTTAATTCTAGATAGAAATATTTACCCAAAATATGGTTAAGTCCTGTAGGTGTAAACAACTCATATTAAAGGATAAATTCACTTCCAGAATAAAAATTTCCTGATAATTCACTCACCCCCATGTCATCCAATATGTTCATGACTTTTCAGTCGCAAAGAAATAAATTTTTTTTAGGAAAACATTCCAGGATTTTTGTCCATATAGTGGACTTCAATGGTGGCCAACGATTTGAAAGTCCGAAATGCAGTTTCAATGCAGCTTCAAAGGGCTCTACACAATCCCAGCCGAGGAATAAGGGTCTTATCTAGTGAAACAATCGGTCATTTTCTAAAAAATAAAAAATATATATATGTATCCACTTTTGAGTGACACAACAATTTTTTTGAAGTTTGGCAGCCCTGGTCATTTTATGGAAAATGCAGCAAAAAAGCCAATTGAATATTTGTTTTACAGGATTCCCCCCCTTCCCCCCCCCCCATTTCTCACATAAGAACGTAAGTCATACATGTTTGGAAAAATATGAGGGTGACTGACATCCGAAGTGAAGTGCCTGCATAAAGACGACACCGATTTGCAGTAGGCTAAATATATTTAAGTATTCACGCAAACATAATCTGTTATATCACTTGCTGCTCTTGATTGAACTGCTTTTGTAGTTTTAATAATCAATTTATTTGTTATGCCCAACACTGATTATTATTTCCAACAACAAAACACGTCAATCGTTTAGGAGACATTCTTGTCTACATCCGCTCCAGCGTCGAAACAATGGCAGACTGTATACAGCTCACTCATGGCGGGTCGGTGTTGAAACCAAAGAGTGATGCCACTGTCAATCAGTAATCGTGGGAGGGGCCTGTGCAGAACTACGTCATTCTGCCAAGAATCTGTGAACAGCTTGATATGAGAAAGAGGTTTGGATTTATTGGGATTAAAACAAACAATAAAAAAAACAGAGGGCGGA